AGGTAGAGATTTAAGCAATGTATTTGTTGTGATTTGGTATGTATTTATGTATGTATTGATGTATTATTGAGCTTTTTGTACACCAAGGTATGCATGCGTCTAGTTTTGTCATTTGATACCAATGCATATACAAGTATCATTTTATGGGTTAAATGGACCCAGGTTTTGTCATTTGATACCAATGCATATACATGATACCAATGCATATACATATAATATATGTGTATCATTTTATGGGTTAAATGGACCCAGGTGACTAGGATTTTAGCTTTATATAAATAACAACTCAAAAATTTTATCATATTTGTTTTATTTAAACTCTAGCAATCGCACTTGGTTTATATATAATAAATTTGTGTATTTATATGGTTATAGAAATGTAACGATTCATTATCACATACCCATTTTTGTCAAACTAAGTTTATAGTACACATACATTACTAAGGTTACATGAAACTTATTACTAATATACATATAATCGTATTGGACCTTTACATCATTTCCGGAATACATTACCAATAATAGAAATCATGTTGAAATCAATAGTTTTAGGTTTAACGAATAACTGATTCAAAACATCTTATTTTTCGACTTCTATAAATATTTTTACTAAAAATATTTCAAGTATGAAATTAAATAATAGACTATGACATGAGTCCAAAAAAGTTCTCAAAATTTTCATCTGATGTATGCAAGTCCCTCAACGGATAGAAACTGTTTTTAGCACTTTTAAGAAAATCAGTATTATACTGGTTTGAATTTTTAAAACGGTCGTATCTTTTGCATAAAAACTCTGTTTTGGACATTCTTTATATTTTCGGAAACAAAGAAACATGTACTACGAGACTAGAGTGTTTGTTTTGCTCTCAACTGCTTAGTACGGAATTTTAGTTTTTCAGATGCATTAACTATGGTTGCAGTTTGAGGTATTTTATTTGTTTGTTAGCTTACACATTTGGAAGTAAGTTGCCATATGGTATCCTATACTAGTTGAAATGAATTCATTTATTTTTCATAAGATGCGCTAAAACTCAATGAGTCAAATTACCAAGAGGTTTACTATGAACTTGACCTTTCACAGTCTTTGACCTAAATTCTGGGATGTCACAATACGAGTCCAAGCCCATGCCATTTATGTACTAATGAATCTATTTGCAAGCCCATTTCAGCGATTTCTACTGCTACCGACACGTCTTCGATGAACTCTCATAAAGATCTAAAGGGCTTCAAAACAGCTGCCAAACGTTCCAAATAGCTTGACATCATGCATGATGAGATACAAGCTCTTCAAAATAATGAAACTTGGGAATTAGTTCCTAGACCAATTACATCTAATATTTTTGGATCCGAATAGATTTTTTCCATAAAATATCTATATGATGGTTCCATAGATCGATATAAAGCCTAATTAGTCGCCCAAGGCTTTACTGAAATACCGGGTCTCGATTACTCTCATACATTTAGTCCAGTTGTGAAAACGTCTACTGTGTGTATCATTCTTTTTCTTGCAATTCATCAAAACTAGACTTTACATCAACTTGATGTATATAATGCATTTCTAAATGAAGATATTAATGAAACTGTCTTCATGGAACAGCTGCCTGGTTTCATTGACTCACGTTTTCCGAATCATGTGTGTCGTCTCAAAAACGCTCTTTATGGCTTAAAACAAGCTCCATGAGCTTGGTTTCAATGCCTTAGTTCCTTCCTAATCCAAGTTGGTTTCACTTGCAGCCGTGCCGACCCTTCTATATTCCTGATTAAACGAGGCTCCATCATTCTATTTCTTCTTGTTTATGTCTATGACATAATCTTAACAGGAAATGATCATGCGGTTATTGCAGCATTTATTGCTAGATTACGTCACAAATTCGCTATTAAGGATCTTGGAAAAAGCAGCTACTTCTTGGGACTGGAGGTTTTTCACACTACAAATGGATTGTTTCTTACTCAATCTAAATATCCCTTAGACGTTCTATCAAGAGCCGACTTATTGGATGGAAAACCAGTCTATACTACTCTCTCTACCTCCGAGGCATTAAGTAGTCATGGTGACCCGTTTCATGACCAAACTCTCTATCGTTCTCTAGTAGGTGCTCTATAATACCTCACTATCACTCGTCGTGACGTATCCTATGTAGTAAATGAGGTTAGTCAGTTCTTGCATGCACCCACCAATGCTCATTTTCAGGCAGTCAAGTGCATTCTCCGATATGTGATGGGAATCTTAACCTTTGGTCTTCATTACCAACGTTCTTCCGCTATTCTTCTCATTGCCTACTCGGATGCTGACTGGGCAAGCTGTATCGAGACACTTCGCTCAACCTATGTCTGTTCCATCTTTTTTGGTGGCAATATTGTCTCATGGAGTTCCAAGAAACAACCTACTGTGTCTCGTTCTAGTTGTGAATCAGAATATAGGGCTATGGCAAACACGACTTCAGAAATCATTTGGATTATTCATTTCTTACGAGAACTCCATATTCCAATTTCTCCTACGCCATGTCTTTATTCTAACAACAAGAGTGCAATCTTTCTTAGACAAAATCATATTGCCCATAAGTGTGCCAAACACATTGATATTGATTATCCTTTTGTGAGAGAGTTGGTCACCTCCGGCAAGCTACTTACTCGTTTTGTTCCAACTACACGTATGGTGGCACATCTCTTTATTAAAAGTCTTCCAAGACCTTTATTTGAGCACTTCAGGTCCAAGCTATGTGTTGGTCCACCACCACCTTCTAGCTTGAGAGGGGGTATTAACTATAAGATTGATTAAGTTTGATTACTCCTAGTTGATAGGCATATTGTTGTATTTGAATTATGTTTATCTTGTACTATTGTATTTTGTATAAATACCAATATACTAAACACTCCAGAATTCATTGGAGATTAATTTATTCTATCCTTATAAATATAATAAGTCAAAGCCAGAACTTGATTAATCATATAAGTAAAACACTGCTGTATCAAATCCTAAAAATTTAGCTATTAAAAACACAAGTCGGTATTAATCATCCTTTTCCCGACGACAAGTCGTCGGTATAAGGCGTCACGTTTCCCGTCGACAAGTCGTCGGTATAGGTTCCGAATAAAACTTTTTCTTATTTCCTCGAAAATCAATCCCGACGATCCTTTACCGACGACTTGTCGTCTGGATTAGTTATTCTATACCGACGACACCTGTCCCGACGACATTTTCGACTTTTACCGACGGAGTTATGCCGACGACTTTGTATAGACGACATGTCGTCGGTATAAGCTTTACCGACGACAAGTCGTCCGTACAGAGTCCCTAATTGTCGTCTGCATAGGCCTCTATTCTTGTAGTGAAGCCAAAAATATAAATACCGAACACCCAATTAAAATTTGGAAGAAAGTAAAAAATCAGATGAAAGATCGCAAACCAATAAATTTCTCTTTTCATAACATCAAGAGTGAAAGAATATGCAAAGAATCAGAGGCTCCAATTTTATATAAATCATTTCACCGCAATATCTAAAAAAAAATGCACATTTATTTGCAAATAAGCGTCAAATATCAACTTTCAGGGAGCACCTGTAGTGTATAAGTTTATTATCCATGGTAGAAACTGATGTATTTGAAATCAATTCATTATGTGATTATTTAGAATAAATTACTGAATTGTTTCATGTTCTTTGTATTTTTTAACTTGGTTATTCCAATTTTGCACTTTTTTTTTTACCGTTTTGGTCCTTATTTCAAGGTTTATATAGTTTTTTCTTCATTGGAACCTTGAAATTAAGACGAAGATTAGATATTTAATTAGCAGGGGCGTCTCGTTGATTTTGAGGGCCATGTGTGGAAAATAAAATTGGGCCCTTAAACATAATTTTTTTTATATATACTTCTTTTACTCATAATATCAACATTCTTCCATTTTGCTACCTATAATAGAAATGTATTTTAAAAGTTTGTACCTCACTTTTTTCAAATGAAGATGCTCGTCCTTATGTGGGTGCCTGCAAATTTACCATGGAAAGGTATACTATATATTCAATATGAAATACAACCATATTTGAAACCTACTGTTCCATAGTATTCTGATATACTCATACAAGTGAGTTTTGTTTGTGAATAGAAAAGCACATTTTGCCCCCTGAGAGAGAAGGAAAACAAAAAAACTAAGAATATAGAAACTGGCATGCACCAGTATCACGTAATAGCTTAAACTAACATCTATCAAATGAAAAAGAAGATTGACTGTTTAGAAGAGGCCACATGCTCCATGAGGATGTGAAACCTGAAGTTTCAAAGTTTTTCTTGAAAAAGATATTCAGTAACAACATTCTTTTGAGCGATATTTAAAAGAACTTGATTTAAGCCGGTTGACAATACCTACCACGTTTGCCAAAATTCAAATCGTTTGACGTGCCCTATTTTTTTTTTAAAAAAAAAAAAAAAAAAGTCAAGGAGAAGAGAAGTTATTTCACAAGATTACTTTCAGACGAGTGCGTATTTTTTATGATGAAAGCTTAGAGCTACGATGACTCAAATTGTTGACGCAAGAGGAGGGAACTGAACGAATCACCAACCGATCAAACGCTGGTGGATGAATACGGAGCCACCGAGGGTATCTCTGTTTCTTGGCGGATACGCGAGAGTCCCAAAATGAAGTGGTGAGATTCGACTTTGAAAGGACGCATCGTGTCGCTACTCATGTAAACACTCCAAATGAAACCCAGACAAATGTACTTCTTACGCGTTTGTACGAAAAACAAGGTTTTTACTTTTTATATATAATAACGAAAATGATAATTACATTTTGAAAAAATATAAGAGATAAAATAAAATACATATAGATAGATTGATTGAGAAAGTTAGATAGGTTGATTGAGACATTACGTAGTGGAGTTAGAATTTCCCCTTTAAATGGATGTCCGACTTTTCTAGGCATTTAACAACAACCATTCCTGAAGAAAGCATCACAGAGCTTTTTTTTTTCTTTTGAAAACAATGCAATTCCACCCCACAAATTCATGCCTTCCGCCACTGATAATTATCAAGTCGAAAAGGAACAAGTTGTTGTGGTCGTGACAGAACCACAACCACCCGCAGAAATCTACCATGAAACATTCGGTTTCTTCATACCATTTCTGTTGAAATGCATCGGCTACATCGTTAGTTTACTAGAACGTCTTGGTCGCCTCTGCATGGACTATTAGCAGCGACTATTTGGGGTAGTCAAGCTCCCATCCCCACTTAAGTTTATTATCATCTGTTTAGCTGCTTTCGCAGAAATGAAGTCACAGGGATCTGAATTTCCTTTTAAAACCCACCCTCGATCCATGAATGTCGCCATTACCAGTCTACTCTTTTATGGTTTGGCTTCGGCAGCTGAACATGTCACTTCTGCCACACGTCTTGGTCCTGCTTCAGTTTCTACCATTGTTGCTCACTCGGGAAGGATTGGTTCTTTGTGCACTTTGGTAGCATCTGTCGCATCTTTGTTCTATCTTTGATACGTTTTTCGTTTCTCTTATTTTGTTTCTTAATCAATATAAGATAGATTTAGGGTGATGTTACTCATGTAACATTCCATCCCATATATAAGTTTTGATATGTTAACCATGAGCTCCTTAAAACGTGTAAGTATTGATATGGGCTCGCAAAATTAATGTATTTAGCAGCTGTTAGGCTCTTTTGCATCCTTGTTTTTGCAAATTGCATGCAGTTGCTTTGTAAAAATGCTTATAAGAAGAGTGCCAGTGTCGATCAATCGTTTGAGGTGCTCTGCAAGGCGATCTCCTTGGCTTGTAAAATCAAATACTTGCAAATTTAAATACCTGAATCTTGGTATTGTTGAATTGAATTAATATAACCTTTGGTTTTGGATTGGTTTAGTTTGAGTTTTTATTAACCGAAGGTGATGTGGTTAAAAATTATTTACATGGATTAATATCTGATTTATCTTGTATTAGATTAATTAATTTGTTAAAATAATTCTGATCGTATTTACGTATGAAAAAGATAATTTAAATTTAAATTACTTAATATTAACAAAACAAATCCTTGTTTTCAATAAAGGAATATTTGTTACTTATTTTTCGAATTTTCCTATTTCTATAAATTTAAAAAATTCTGGAAAACATTTAATCTAGAAAAGATATTTGACGTTTCTTCATCTTAAATTTCTTATAAGAAATGAGTAATATTTGCAATTATTATTATACCTAAGTTTAAGATAAAAAGATCAATTTAATTAGTTGTAAACATCCTTAATAAATATTATTTTTTGAATGCAAAAACATAAAAACATTTATAACATTCGATATAGAATGTTATTTTTTTTCATTTGTATTATTATAACAACCTTTCAGTTAAATAAAATTCATAAGAAATTAAATATTTTTCTATTTTTCTTTTTAATTATCTTTCTATCAATTTGAAATGATGATAATTGTCCTAAAATATAACTAATTTTATTAAAATATGAAACGTGTCATCATTTTATATGTTTAAGAAGATAAATAAGAAGAAAAGGTAAAATGATATTTAATTTCTCAAAATTCATTTATAATCAAAATTTTAAAATACATGTATTATAAAGATTTTCCCCCTTAAATTAGAAATTTAGTTTACAATTAATTAGATAGAATTAAAAATTATCAAATGCATTTCTTTGTAGTTCTCTAATTTGCCGTATCAGCATCTTATGAAAGAACTTGGTACATATTATAACAAGGGCTAATTATTTGAGATGGTAACAAACTTTTAATTTTGGTCACATTTAGTCACTGAATCTTTTTTCGTACTTGATTTACTCTTGAATTATTTGAAATTGTTCACATTTTAGCTTTATAACCGGTAAAAACCGGTCATAAGGATAAAATGTGAACAGTTTCAAATAACTCAGGGGTAAATCAAACACAAAAGAAGTTCAGTGACTAAATATGAACAAAATTGAAAGTTTATTACCCTTTCAAGTCATTATCCATTTTTGTAATATTTTGTTAGTTTATTTTGCCTACTCGTAGCAATTACTTAGATTAATAATTTTGATTTCAGTCACTACGATTTGTTTTGTGTTGTGTTTGTAAAGAGTATTACAAAATAGAATACATACCACATAACCATGTTTTTGTTCATAAATTTAAATCTTAGTTCATGAGATAAACGTTTAACTAGAGTTTCTTTATTCACCTATAAGTAAAACTCCAGCCCACAAAGAAGAAATAATCAGTAGAGTTTCACAAATGCAAAAAGATACATATAGAAGCAATAAAACTAAAAATAAGATCGAAAATCAAAAGGAGCACAATGACAAGTACATATAGAACCACCATCTGAAGTGAAACCGTTGCCTATGTCCTAAGTATATGTCTGAAACCACCATAATTGTTTTTCATTTAGTTTCTATATATGTGATTGAAGTCGATTCTGCTGTATTTCTAGGTGTTGTTTTTGATACCTTATATAATAAAGGTATATCACACATAACTTCAACATCCTCATTTTTGTGACCTCCATATTTCGTTTGTGCTTTTTCTTAATAACATTTAGAACCATTTACGGGATAATGACTTGAAAGGGTAACAAACTTTTAATTTTGTTCATATTTAGCTATTGAACTTTTCGTACTTGATTTACCCCTGAATTATTTAAAACTGTTCACATTTTTCCATTATGAACAGTAACAACCGGTCATAAGGGTAAAATGTAAACAATTTCAAAAAATTTAAAGGTAAATCAAACACGAAAAAAAAAAACAGTTACTAAATATGACCAAAATTGAAAGTTCGTTACCTCTCAAGTCATTATCCCTTATAACAATTAGTAAAAAAGTGAATAGTATTATTTTCTTTTAACAATTTAATTAAAAAGCATATTATTTCAACCAAACTACAAAAGTGTCCCCGATTATAACAATTAGTAAAAAGGTGAATAGTATTATTTTCTTTTAACAATTTAATTAAAAAGCATATTATTTCAACGAAACTACAAAAGTGTCCCCGTAGTTTGACATTCTATGTGACTAGAGTCTATTGTTTTAAAATTACAACTTTTGTCATTTTCGTTTGTTATGGTTTTGGTCTTTGTCAAATATTTTGGTCTTTGTTAAAAGATGAACTTGTCGTTCTCATTTTTTTTTTTTCTTTTATTGCATAAAAAATGATCTCTCTCTCTGGATCTATAACCCAGACCTACCGCACCACCATTGCACCACTATATAATAACGCCAACGCAGCACCTTTACATCATCTCACTTGAATGACACGTGTTCTCTAAATTACGCATTTTCTGATCTTACATCTAAAATCTAAAAATCTTAGTTTTATCACCACTATCATATGTCATCTCTTCCTCATCTCTGTATCACCTGTAACGGAATCCTTTTAAGAAATGTTTCTTCACTAGGCCGCGGCCAAATACCTTTACTATATAAGTTTCTCTGATTATTCATTCCAAATGTAAAAATTACTGTGAAACAAAATCTTGTTCAAAAATCTTTTCACAAGAAAGTATAAAGTCAAAAATTAAAAAAGTAAAACCATATTTTAGATTTTAATCTGAAATTTTGAAAAGCCAATATTCAAATTCCGATCTGAAATTTAAGATAATTTGGGATTGACGTCTCAAATATTCAGATTAAATTATAGATTTAAATATTTTTGAACACGTTTATTTTATATGTTGTAGTCGCTAAGGGTAGACTTTGTTTCATAGTATTATATGTGATACTAGTTGATAAAATACTAAAATTTCGGAAAAAAACGTGGTTCCACCCAACATATTTCAAAAATTCCACGGAGATACATTTCGGCTGCCGATTTTAGATTAGAATATGTAGAATAAATTTCCTACTATCACACAAAAAGTATCATTCATTCTTTTGGAAAAGATAGTCACATAGATTGACTTGTAACTTCAAATATTGAATGGGACCAGGAAGGTTGTACTTTTCTTTATTCGGTATCTTTATGGAATTTTTTATCCTAACCATTAGATTTTTGGGAGAAAATAATATGAGTTTAAGAATAAGACAAAAATTACTATATATCCAAATTATATAGAGTTAGGCTGTTGGCTTCGTTTCAGTATTTCAAATAACATGAAACTTCTCCAATTTTGTTAATTTTTTTTTGTAAGAGCTAATTCCAATAGATTTATTGGAGGGTCTTGTAGAGTCGAAAGTTATAGTGAGAGTCGAAAGCTATATCTAAGCTATTTAAAAGACTATTTACAAGGCATTTAATGTTTCGATATGTATAGACTAGTCCTTGTATTTTTTGTATGTCTGATGTACCCTATATAAATAGGGTAAATACTTAGGTCTAGAGTAAGGAAAACTCTCCGTGTTACTCTTTGTACTCAAAAACCATTTGTACTCATTCAGACATAATCGGAGCTAAACAGATCATATTTAGATCTCGTGTTCTTTATTGCTTTCATTTATTCGATTGATTCAAACATTGTTTCTAACACTCTTCAATTAATATCAGAGCGGGATTCACTTCATTGATTGAAGAATCTTCGTAGCATTTTTCATCTTTTTGAATCGTTCATTCCAGTTCATTATTTCGCAAATTGAAACGTAACTATTTTCTTAATCAATAAGTGATTAATTTATTGTGCTATTGTTTCTATCAATCGATCTGTTGATCATCTCAATTCTCTTCTAGTAATTCTTCTTTTCATCAGACCAAATCAAAATGACAAATCTCAATGTGAACACGATGATGAATTATGCCAATTTTCTTGGATCTGCAACGAAGATTCCGATGTTGATTCCTGAATATTATGATCAGTGAGCCGATCGGATGGAAGATTATCTTAATGACATAGATGAAAAACTATGGAAGTTTGTCAAAGATGGAAATTATCGTGAAGATTTTGTTGAGAATGTTGGTACTGCTGGAACAGCCGCAGACATGGTTACTCGAGCAAACACCAGGAAAGCTTGTGATAAGAAAGCTCTTCGTGAATTGAGAGGTGCTTTTCCTCTTGTTGTCTACAACTATGTTCGTGGATGCACAACTGCAAAGGAAATACGGGACACCTTGAAAGAGAAATACTAGGGTAATCAAAGAACAAGGAAGAGTTCTGTAACGAAATGTTTGTTTGAGCTTGCTGATTTCAAGCAGAAAGAAAATGAAAACTTTTAAGCCTATTATGATAGGATGAATGATCTGATTTTCAGATGCAGTCGATATGGGGTAAAATGTACAACTCTTGAATTCAATCTGAATGTTTGTATTGATCGGATACACTTCACGTATAAAGAACAAAAGCAAAATTACTAAGAAATTAAAGAACAGAAAAGTAAATAACACAGAGGATTCACTAAATTGTCTTTCACCATGAAAGGAGTTGTTTTCACCAAGAAAACAAGTTGTCACAAAGACGGTCACCAAGACTTTGTACGAGACACACATTAGGGTTTCACCATAATGTAGAATATATACTAATCTATACAAGTATATCCCTTGATTCAAGGGATTGTATCTAATCTATACTAAGA